GGCCCGGCGGTGGGGGCGCCGCCCAGCCCCCGGGCCCTGCCGCGCCTCTCCTGGATCGACACCCTCTACAGCAGTACGTGCGCGCTCGGGCTGGGGAGGACGGGCGGGACCCAGCCTCGGAGCTCCGACGGCCCCGGAGCGCGACGTGCCGGGCTAGTCTGGGGAGCGGGGCGCGGCGGGGCTGTGGTCAGGTGCCCGCCGGCCGGCAGGCAGGGAAGCAGCGTGGAGCGTCCAGAGATCGGCCTCAGAGGGCGTCCCCGGGGCAGACTTCAAGTGGTGTGGGGCCAGGGGTCCGACGGGGCCAGGCGAGCTGTGTCTCCCCTTTGCCACCTGTTGTGTAACCCAGACTCCGCGACGCTCAGGAAGCCGGGAGAGAGCCCTTTTAGAGCGCTGTCTCTGCTCCCCGACTGCAGCTTCGCGGTCCACGCTGAAACAGAAAGGCCGTTCTGGGAAAAGCCCTTGGCTCCCGAGTTTGCCATCTCAGGGATCTTCTAAGGCCACGTATGGTTCGGGGTGAGGGCGGGATCGGGTGGGATCGGGTGAGATGGGAGGCTGTAGGTGCACATCTCCGTGGGGGCCGTTTGGCTGAAGGAGCTGAAAATTCCGGCTCAGCAATCTTTCCTGCCAGCCTCATCACCACCTCCACCCTCCTCACCACCCTCCGCAAAAAAGAAAAAAGGAAGAAAAAAAACAACCATCTCGAGTTCTCCACCCCCTCATTCCCAAATCTGCTGCGATCATGTGATTGCTCTTCCATGGCCGCGGGGGATGTGTAACTGATCCCTGGTACGTCCTGGGGGCTTGAACCAAACCTGAACCGCCCCCACCCTCCGCCCCGCCTTGCTTAGGGCTGAAGACCCTGCCCCCTTCTCTCCTCGCCTCCCTTGAGCTGCTTTCCCCAGACGCTTTCAGTGATAACTGGGAGAGGGGCCATCGGACTCCCCTCCGAGGAAGATAGTAGATTTCACGCTTCGGGATCCCCTTGAGTGGAACCCTTCCACGCTCTCTGGCAACATCTCCCACCCAGCCCAGCCCTGAGGCAGGAACTGTGGTCTGGACAGTGGTTGACATGGGGCAGAACGGTTTGGGGGATCAAGCTGGCTGCAGTTGGTGTTTGGCAGTGGAAGTGGGAAAGGATGATGCTGGGGTCCCAATGTCTTGCCCTGGAAGCCCTGCAATACCCAGCTTCCAGGCTCTGTTGTCCTCATCCCTGGTCATCCCCCCATCTCTGCTTCCCCCTCCCCCTCCTAGAGCTGGATCCTCCAGCGTCTCCTTCGCCAAGCCCAGCCACTCCATCTGCTCTTCCCCTTGCCGAGGCCAGCATCGTTGAGTGAAGGTCAGGGCCCACGGCTGTGTGGCGTGTGCATGCACGAGTGTCTGCGTGAACCGGCGCACACATCTGTTCACAGCCCTGATGCAGATCAGCTCCTGACCCTGACGAAGGATTAGTGACCTCCTCTTAGCTGTGCTCGTGCACGGAAAAGTCATAACAATGCCTCATATTCACATGCCATTTACATTCCAGACTATTTCTGGCTCTTTACAAAACCGAGGACTGGTGTCCCTATTTCCCAGAGCCTGGAATCCTATGGAAACCTGTCTCTGACTTTCTTTTCATTGTGGGAGAAGGCTGTGCTGTCGGATCATCTCCAAGCCGTCTCCACCCCCCTCCCATCTGGAGTAGAGAAACAAACTTGCCTGAGGCCGCCTTGATATTCCTGTCCAGAGGAGGGCTGGAAAAGGAATTAGGCCAAGGGCCTCTTTGGGGATACCCATTAACCAGCTCTGATTCAGTCAGGCTGGCATCTGAGCTGTCCACCCTGGTGCTGACTAGCCGCCAGGCTCTTGGGGTAGCCTGGATGGTGGAGCAGGAGGGGCGGCAGACTTGAAAGTGGTGTGAGGGCTCTGTGCCTCCTTCAAAAGGGCCTATTTGAGAATGGTAGATGAGGCTTCCTAGGGGGTGCTGTGCAGTCATGTTTGGGCTGTTAGCCATCAAGTTTCCTCTTGACAAGAGTCTAAATTCAAACGAATACCCGAGCCGTCATCTGCCTGGCAGCACAGTTTTGTGCTCCCAGTGAAAGTTCCTCTGTGTCTCGGTAAGCTCTTTGCCAGATGCATCAGGAATTGTAAAGAGGGCATATCCAGGGTGCAGGGCAGCCAGTATGACCTCAGAGATGTGAAAGATTCAATGACAGAGGTTCCATCTACGTGCTGCTTCCGGTAACTGAGATAGAACCTATTCCATGCAGGCGCTGTGCTAGGCACTTTCCATCCACTCTCTACAACTCTGCAACTCTTTCCTTTTTTTTTTCCTTCAGAGAGATTTTTTGCTATAGGGCATGTGTGCTAGCCAGAGACACAGAAAGAGAACGTGAGAATTCACCCCCCCAAAGGGGATGGCCATGCTAGAACCCCTTCCCCTCCATTCGCCTCTTGGGATTTTGGGCATGTATGCACACACGCCGATGTGTTTCAAGCTGCCAGGCCTGGGACTTGAAACATAGTCAGCCGTGTTGGAGTCTAGCATCTTTTTTTTGAAGAGGTTTTTGCTATAGGGCGCTTGTGCTCCCCAGACAGACAGACAGAGACAGAGAGATAGAAAGCGAGAAATCACCCCCACAGAGGGGATGGCCACGCCGCAATCCCTTCTCCTCCATTCTCCTCTTGGGATCTTGGGCACGCACGCACACGCGCCCGGCGTGAGTTTAAGCCACCGGGTCCGGGACTCGAACCATGGTCGACTACATGGGAGTCCAGCGACATAGCCATTACGCTAAGTGCTGGTCCCTGGAGACTAGCATCTTAACCACTATGCCACCTGCTGACTTACAACTCTTGCAGGTTAGGAGAGATAGGCTCGGTAAGCTCAGATCCTTTACCCAAGGTCACATAACTGGTAAGTGACAGAGTTGGAATTCTGAGAGGACCCTAGGATAGTAAGGAGGATTCTGAGTGTCACTTGTAATATGTCTGAGTTTATTCAAGGCCCTGGAATGTGGCATAGGGGACATCTGTCTCTTTGCTCCTCTGTTGCAGAGTTGTCCCTGAAATAATACAGCAGGGGAAGTGGCTTCAATGACTCTGACCTCGGCCTGTCCCTGTGCCTCTTGTAGGACCTGGGGCTAGGCCTGGAGGCCAGGCAGAGGTGTTTGAGGCTCTGTCTGGGCCCACTGAGGTCAGCGGCTCTGTACCCCAAATGTTGCAGACTACTAGCCAGCCCCTCCCCTCACATACCTCTTGCCTTTGGAGCTGTCACTTGTTCTTTCTGGCTTCAGCATCTGTGCCAGGAGGAGTGTGCCCACCTCCATCGTGGGTCGATGGCTATTTGATAAGGGTGGGCAGTAAATCCCCTCCCTCCCCTGTGGCAGAAGTCCTGAAGGGCTAGAGTAATGGTTTGTCTGACTCAAGGAGATGGGTTGGATGCCAGCTGCCAGTGTCATGTGGAACTGAGTGGAGCAGGGCCCTGTGCCTCTGATAAGCTGGTGCGGCAGGGGGGGGGGTCCCGCCCCCCC